GCCCGTTGGACGCGAAGCGGGCGCTCCCGCTGCGCCCGCCTTTTGTTTTTCCTGCTGCAAAACACTTGCCAGGAGCCCCTGCACGGAGCTGCCCCCGCGCTGCGCGGCCGCCTTGCCCCTTTCTTGTGCGGGAGCTGCCCCGGTTAGTTCCCTAGCGTGTTGTTTTCCTGCAGCCCTTCAGGCAACACTTCCATTTCTGTAGTTTTATTGGAGTTTTGTTTTTTTCCCGCTGCGCCCGCCTTTTGTTTTTCCTGCTGCAAAACACTTGCCAGGAGCCCCTGCACGGAGCTGCCCCCGCGCTGCGCGGCCGCCTTGCCCCTTTCTTGTGCGGGAGCTGCCCCGGTTAGTTCCCTAGCGTGTTGTTTTCCTGCAGCCCTTCAGGCAACACTTCCATTTCTGTAGTTTTATTGGAGTTTTGTTTTTTATTTTTTTTTCTGGGTTATTTTTAATTTTACCAGTAACATGCTTTCTGTTGTCTCTGGAAAGTGCTCAGCATAATTCTTGCACTAAAAAGGTGTTTTAACTTCAAGAACGAATAGAGTTTCAGAGGACCGCTTTTTTTTTTTTCCAGTATGTTTTCTTATAATAACTTTCTGTTTTAAGAGACAAATTTAAGAATAGAAAGCAGTCTTCTTTTAGGTGGAAGTTTGTCCTCAGAAAGATCGTATTTACGAATGTGGGGGATGTATTAGTTGTATATCTGGGCTCAGGAAGAGTGCTTCGTGCTGCTCCATTTCTCCTCTGTATGAAATGTTCACAGATCTTTACAGAAGAACCTAATGTCTTTTTTTTTTCTTTTTTTTTTTTTACTTCTATATTTGTTCTTGTTTACTGTGCCACCCAATTTGGTGTCCTTTGCAAATGTCATGTGGCTTCTTAGCCTTTGTCACTCCTATCCTCTTTCAGATTGGTAGTGGGAATGGTAAAATGGGACCTAAAAATGACCTCCTGCTAACGTGCATTTACTGCCAATCCATTACAGTGCTTTTTAGTTTTGTTGCTGGGCTGGTTTTCAGGATGTGGAACGAGGTTAAAGCCGAGCAGATTTGAATGCCTTATGAGTCAGGTTCAGGAACAGCACCTGAAGTTAAAACCTTTGTGTTCTGAAACACTACAGCAATGCCATTTCTGGCATGTGAAACCCTTCTCTACACCTTGCATAGCAGTAGTGCAGTCCAGGCGACCTAGTCAAGGGGTTAGTGTGTGTTAATAGCTACCTTGTTCTCTCTTGTGCTAGTGGCCATGCGCTAACTTGAAAGTAATAGAATCAAAACAGTAATGAGATGAGGAAAGAAGAACATGGATTTCAGAAATGAATAACAATTTAATGTGCAAGGGAAGAGACTAAATATTAGAAATATTCTAATGTGAGCTTTTGAAAACGTCTGTATAGTAGTTTGCTAATGAAAGACCTGATAACTGGGTTGTTTAACGTGTGAGGAGACATAATTGTTTACTTCTTGAGATTTAATGTTTATTGTTAAGAACTTTGACTATAATTGTACCTAGTAACTCTGTTGTCTCTAACTTCTGTGAGCTGTTTGTTGGTGGCTCGTAGGAAGATGAGGTCCCTGGCCTGAGCACGGAGACGGTCGCTCTAATCTTTGTGTGAGCGCAGCTCCACCTCTGATGTT